GGACTCATACCTCGGATAAAGAATTCATAATAAAGGATGGTCTGCAACAAGGAACAGTGAATGCACCGATATTCTTCAACGTGTATAATAGCGACATATTGCATTTATATGGTATGAACGAAGAGGAAGATACATCAGCATTAGCATTCGCTGATGATTTCATAGTATATATTACAGTGAATAAACCATCTGAAATCCAACAAAAACTAGAGATTAAGGTAAATCAAATAATTAAATATTATAAAACTTGGAAACTGAAAGCCAACCCGCAGAAATGTGAGACAATTTTATTCCGAAGGAATTTAAGCGAAATTGCCAAATCGGCAAGAAATTGGAGAGTGTTGAGAAATTGAGTAGGCTTATTGAGAAGAACGTCGAGCATTTGCTGTGAGTGGTCAGATTTATTAAAATTCGTATGTGTACACCGCGTGTCGGTTGAGATTCAAATGAGAAGCCGTTGAGCGAACCACGTTCCGAGTTTTACAGAGAAAATATTACAATGAGCAGACTAGAGACGGCCTGATTATATTAATCAGATAAGATCCGAACGATGAAGATTGTATTAATCCCACCGAACTTGTACTTTTGTGAGAAGACGTATAGCGAGGTTGAGAAGACACGTGTAGTTGGAACGAGATGTAGAGAACTAATGGATGACATTTGAGAATATAATGAGAAGACACGTGTTGTATATGTGATGGCAAAAAGATGACTGACTGACAAGCCGGCGTCACGGCGCTTCTTCAACCGCCGTGATGAGTTATGGCGAGTCTGCATTGAGCGGCAACTGTCACGAGTTCTGATTGGGCATTAGAAATCCCAAACAGAGAGATTTTCAAATAAAAATAGAAAATGAAGAGACTGGAGAAGAAATAGAAATTCCGCACAAGCATACAGTTAAATATTTGGGAATGAATTTAGACGAAAGGATAAAACTTACCAAACATATAGACATCCAACTTAGCAAAGCAAAAAAGGCCTTCATGGCAAACTGCAGAATCTTTTATTCGAGRCACYTATATCCTAAGATCAAAGAAATATGTTATCAGCTTCTAATAAGACCTATAATAACGTATGCCTGCCCTGTRTGGATGAACTTTAATGACTCAACTGCTGAAAAACTCAGAGTATTTGAAAGAAAATGTTTACGTGCTTGTTATAATTTGTACAGGTCCGCAGACWCAGGATATAAAAAATATATCAGCAATRGTACACTATATAGAAAAGTAAATATTAATAGAATTGATAATTTTATTATCAAGYTCACTCGAAATTATTTTGYTAATATAAAAAAGATAGATAATAATAATCTAATAAGATCAAGTGTATACCCGAATAGACAATATCATGAAAGATCGTTTGAATCAGGATTTATTCCCTCTGAAGCTTTTATAACAATGGACCAGGATGGATTAATACAAAACCAAAATAATGTACCAATAATATACCACATTTATAGAAATAAAGCCAATAAAAAAATTACTTATAAAGACAGAATAAGAAATAAACAAGAAGTTAATCTTAGATACTCGACAGCATTACCAAAGAAAGATATTATGGACTTCTCAAGATTATCTAAAAAATATTGGTGGATCAGTAATGAGGATAACTCTATACAAGAAATTGAACAATAGCCTGCCCAAAGACTTATTCGTAGTAAGCCTATATGCAACAAACTCGAACAAAGCAATATTCATAGAAGAACTCAACCAATTACTGACAAAAATACAAGCCGAGAGCCAGGACTGTGCGTTCATAATAGCTGGAGATTTCAACGCAAGAAGAACCGAATAGGGTGATCACGCTGACAACGAAAGAGGCAAATACCTAAGAAAATGGGAGTACACCGAAGCCAATAAGTTTGGAGTAAAAATATACTCAACCACCACACCAACACGCATGGATAGCTTAACATATTTGGACATCTGCCTAACCAACCTCCAAGCTATAGATCTAGAAAACGGAAGAATAAAGAACCGATCATACGACAGCGACCACCAAGCCCTCCAGTTCATGGTGAAACTGCCAAACGTTGCAGAAATTGATAAGGTGAGAAATGAAAAACATAAATACAACTATAAG